TCTCCTGCACAATGGGGGGGGGTCCATCACTTCTTGAAGGATGGTGGGCAGTGATGCCACAACATGGTAGCACTATGAGCCTGGGTCTGGTGCAGAGCAGGCACTCCACAAGCAAGCCTGAGATGATCAGTGCAGCTTCTTCTTGAGAGCTAAAACAGAACCAAGGGTTTTCCAGTCAACACCCACTGCAGGCCAGCTACCAAGGTTTCAAAATTCACTAAAATCTCAGATGAGGAGAAGGCATTTGAACGGGTTTGGCCAGGTTCACACATGTCCAGCTGATGAGAGCTGTCCTTGACCAAGGCCTGAGTCTATGTGGCCACTCTGGTGTCAGGCAGCCTGCATCACAAATGCACTCTGCCCAGCAGGAGACCCAAGACACAAAAGGTTAAACAAACAGCTGGCTTCCTATACAACAGAATGGCTAATACCAGTCACCATTCATACCCAGTTCCCTCCCCGGTCAAGCTCACCTAGAGGTAAGTTGACAACTATCACCACCCCTGGCTTATGGGGCATGAGGCTGCTGTGCTGTTCACTCACTCTATTTTGGATGTGTGTGTGTGTGTGTGTGTGTGTGTGTGTGTGTGCATGTGTGTGCATGTGTGTGCATGTGTGTGCAGAGGCCAGTGTCTTCCTCAGTGTCTACCTTGTTTTTTGATAATGACCTCTTATTTTCCACCCAGAGTTCACCACATAGATTTGCATTTTTATGTGGGCACTGGAATTAAAACTGAAAACTTTGTGATTGCAGGGCAAGCACTTCACCAAATGGGCCATCCTCGCCCAGACTTGAGCTGCTCTTTTGATCTAAGGTCTAGGACATCCCCCAGACCCCATCAGAATGGAAAGCCTACCCAATGGGTGTGAGTCAGCAGCTCAACATCCAGTTAGGGTAGATGTTGGGAGTCCAGTAAATAAACAGATAAAATTCAAAAGATTTTGACCTACTCTATATAATAAATATAGCCAACTAAATGCATCCTGGAAAAATCAGGTAAGAAAAAAGATTAAAGACGGTCTTGACAGAAATGATCATTTTGACTCTTCCTTTTTCTTACCTCCCCCAGATAATGGAGCAGCCAGTAAGTATCTCCTTGGCATGTCAGGTGCTGTCCTCAGGGAGGGTATATGAGGTAGCCTTTGCCCTCAGTCCCCTTGCACAGACATTAACTTTCTTGATGACTGTTTTAAGCACAGTCAACTTGTAATGGTAGCAGGTCATTAAGAGGCCTAAGTCTGAGGTGACTGGTACAGATGCAAAGGCACCAAGGCTTTCAAAGCCTGGTTTATCTAGGTGTGGAAAGACCAGTGAGCAAGAAAGGCAGTCATGAGAGATGAGCGGGGATGCAGGCAGAGACCAGAGGCTCTTTAGGGGTTCCCCTGAAGGAAGGCACTGTTCAGTCTGCATTTTCAGAAAGTGTGATTGATGGACAGGGCTGTGTCTTACAGAACCATTCCAACCTTTATTCAGTGGCAAATTCAAGTAGGATACTTTATACCCAGAAACATGAAGATGCTCACAAACACACTCAGCCTGCAGTGGAATGCTGATATTACTGTGATCCCGAGACTATTTCACCAACTGTAAAACAATGAGCACAATAATGGCAGCAGCCTCTAGGCTGTTGTTGGGGATAGATAAGTCAGTGCATGCAAAGCCCTTGCCAGTGTCAGCTGTGGTTTATGAAACCACATGTTACACGTGAGTTACACCAACTAAATCCATCTCACTACATGCAGAACCTCCAATGCTTTCCATTCCACCTTTCTCTTCTTCCATCTTTGAAAAGCTGACTTCAGAACTTAATAACAAGGGTAATGACCTAATCTTAGAAATGCTGGCTTGGGATAAGTGAGGGCAGCAGAGCCCACAGGACCTGGTGAGCACTCAGTCACTAGTGAAGGACAGGAAAGGGCAAAGACCCTCTGAAGTGTCTGGAGTGGTGGTGGTGCCATTTGGTCGGGAATCTCAGAAGGAGCAATTCAGCCTGTGGAATCAGAGGAAGACTGAGCTTTCTCCCCACACCACTGTCACCCTGCACAGAGTGGCACCCAGCAGCAAGAGGCTAGCTTTTACAAGGACTAATTGATTAGTTCGCAAATATCACATTCAGATTCACAGTTTCTAGACTCTCCCTTACGTTGTTCCTGAAGCCACCATTTTACAATAACAGTTACATCTGTTAAGCATGACTGCACAGTTAAGGACTTATGTCACCTCCTGTCATCCTCAGCCATTCCCACTGTGCAGGTGACACAATGACACTCAGAACAATTCAGTTGAGTAAGAGTCATGCCAGCACTCAAACTGAAGCTATTTAACTCCAAAGCCATGTGCAATTATTCTGAAATCTTAGTACCATTATCCTTGTCACAGAGACACGGAGAACACCCTGTCTGCCTTGGAGACAGCACTCTCTGCTCCCCAGGACATAATTAACTCAGAAAAAGCCTTCTTTAGGCTCAGAAAAGGCCATAATTTATTTATCAAGAGCCAATCATTCGTTTCCTACAGATACACGGGGGTCAGGTCAAGCAACTCTGGGATTACAACTTGAAAGATTAATTGTGCTCACAGCACATTTTGTTTAGAAAATTAATGATATTCAGGACAGGATTCATTAGTGCCAGGCAGTTAATAAAACAATCATGGAAGTTGAAATGTCCCCTCATCTCTTGTTACAGTCCCTATGAAAAAAGCAATCCCAGGGAGTCACCAAAGGTCACAGTGTTCACTGCCTACAACTCTTGAGTGTGTAAGTCACAGAAGAAAAAAAGTTCTGTTTATCTGGGACAAAGGAAAGGATCTAGCTGAGGGAGATGAATCAGTAAAGTCTGTACACTCCTGATAACCTTGCTCCTCATTGAACTCATCTCTACACCAGACCTAACCCAGACACTAGACCATCAAGCACTGACGGTGAGCAGCTAGCATTCCACAAGATGGTGCTAACTGTGCAGCCGGGGTATTGGGAGAAAACAGGATGAGAAAAGAGGCTCAGGGACATATCTACAAATGTATACTAAAACTAGACAGCCCACTCCACTGTGTGAACAGAACATGAAGAAAGCAAAACTATTTCTTTACCCATGAAAGTAGCCTCAGCTCCTCTCCTCCACCAAGGACCAAGTGGACCTTCCTCAGGCCTTACTAAACTGTAGAGTCCACCAGGGCCAGGTGGTAGGAGTAGAGGTGGAGGATGAATATGAGTAAATGTATCCTCTGTGTGTGTGTGTGTGTGTGTGTGTGTGTGTGTGTGTGTGTAACAGAGAAAAAGAAAGGGTGGGAGGGTGTCTATCTTGTTGGGTGTGTAAGAGAAAGGGGAGTGGAGTGTGTGTGTACATATGCATGTATGTATGTATAAAAGCTGAGAGCCCCTTCAGAAGAGAGAAAAAGGTGCTTGCCCTCTTCTTTCCCTTTTGTGGGTTTCCCCCTCCTCTTTTACCTATATAAACAAGCTGTCCTTGGTCTCTGGATCCTCCTGCCTCAGTCTCTCAAATGCCAGGAAAACGGATAACTGCCTCCATGCCTAGTTCCCTGATCCCTTAATTGCCTTGTGTCTGGCTTTTCTGTTTGACTTAATCACTTCTAGAAATCTCAGTACACCAGGTGCTGGGTGTCTTACAGATAGTCCCTCTCACACATGCCACATGACTAATTACGGTGACTTCTAGAAGAAGTCTAGAGAAAGCAGGGCAGTCTTTACCTTGTCACCAAGGTCTAACCTTGGTGGGTATCTAACATCCACCTTGGGTCTCTAGCATTTGCTTCTCTCCAGGTACAGCTGCTCTCTGATCATGACTGATAGAAAGACTGACATCCGTTAAGCACCTGCAGCATGCCCGGTGTTCCCCATCCATTCTCCCTCCTGACAATCCTAATGGGACACTCTGATGTTAGGCCTTCTTTAAACATGCTGAGAGGGCAAAGACTAATTCGTCCATGGCACAGAATGACAAACCAGGATCCCAGCCTTTCCAACCAACTCCACACTTTCTTTTGGACCCTCACTGAAGAGCCGCACCCATGAGCAATCCTTGTGTGAGGTCACTGTAGAATCTCGCCTTCATGGAGACAGGTATAACTGCCTATCTAACTTTTTTCACCTGCAGTGGGGCAAGAACACTGTTCACTGCTACTGGGAGTATAACCCAGGACAGTCATTCCGGGAATAAATATGGAGAGGTCTTAGTTACTCTTCTATTGCTGTGAAGAGACACCATGACCAAGGCAACATACAATGAAGCATTTAAGTGGGGGTTTACACTTTCAGAGGGTTAGTCCATCACCATCAGGATGGGAAGCATGGCAGCAGCCAGGCATGGTGCAGGAGCAGCAGCTGAGAACCTACATCTTGACCTTCAGGAAGAGAGAGAATGAGATTGAGGCTGGCATGGGCTTTGGAAATATCAAAGCCCACCCTCAGTGACACACCTCCTCCAAAAAGGCCAAACTCACCCCAACAAGGCCACACTCCTTCCTCAAGAGTTCCACTAACAGAGGACCAAGTATTCAAACAAATTAGGACATGAGAGCCATTCTCATTCAAACCATGGCAGGATGTTTCTCAAAACATTAAAAATAGAACGATTACACAGCCCAACAATACCACTCCTGGGCATATACTCAAAGAGTTCACCTGGATTTCTAAGCAGCAAAACGTCACCTAAGCCACAGCTTCACCAGGAACCACAAAGCTGGCTCTGGGACATTTCAACCAAGGAAAACTAGCAAGGGACAAGCACAGGCTGCAGACAAGGACAGCTCGTGGTTGGGTTGTATTCATTCTCTGCCCACATTCTTGTTCTTGGTTAAACCACGTTTGCCTTTGGAATGGTATGAACCCAAGACCTATCTGCAGTTTCTAAAGCCTATCTTTGCCGCATCTCTTCAGAGGTCAGGCCTGAAGCAGCAGCAGCAGCTTAGGAAAGACTGGGTCAAAGCGAGGTCATGGGGAAGACAAGCAAGCATGGGAACCCAAGTGGAGCGTACTTACGCCCTCATTCTAGGTCTCTCAGCAGCTCTCACAAGGTTTGTGGTCACCAGTGATCATAGTGACAGCAAGGTGGGAACACAGCGACCGTACCAAAGGAGCATGTGGTGCACCTTCAAATTAAGAACAACACAGCTGGGTAACTTCAAAAGACAAAACTGACATTTCTGATATCAGCAAGAAACTAAGGTGGCAGGGACAGCTGGCCAATCAGGTAAGAGGTAGGGGAGCTGGCAGCATTTAGCACACAGGTGTTCAGTGAGGCAGGATGTGGGATGAAAACAACTCAATTAATTCGTTGTGCATTCCTGTACAGCAGAGCCGGGAGGTAAGCCTGAAACACCAATGGAGGGCCAGAGATGCACTCTGCAAATGTTGGAGCTGACGAAGAAGCACATGTAAAATATAAAAATTACACAAGACTGACTCTGCCAGCCTCTTCCCAACCACCTAGGAGCAAACAAAGAAGAAAGCAGGGGACTGTGGGTCACAAAAGCCACCGCTTTCCAATCAGGGGCTCTTCCGGGGGAAGGGGAGCATCCCCCACACACACACACACAGCCGGTGGATGTGGAACCACAAGGAGAGAGGAGAGACGTAAAAGCCAAGGCAATGGGATCAGCCTTATTTGTAACCTCCCTAGGTGTGAGACTCAGCCAAGCTGAGACTTGACACATACCCAGCAGGCAAACCAAGAGTCAGAACACACTAGCAAAAAGCAGATGCGAGAGGCGCTGCTGGAAAGGGGAAAAACACCGTGAACTCAAACTGAGGTTAAGGAAAAACTAGGGTGATCCGGGCCAACATGCCTGTATCAGAGAGGGGGATCCCCACAATGCTTTGGCCAGCACCATACCACTCTGCCTAAAAGGAAGCAAGACACTAGCAGTGCAAAAGCAAAGTGTCTGAGGCAGCCCTTTGACAGATAGACAGACAACATCCTTTTTTTTATAGCGAAGATACTAAAGAGCGTTATGAACTGATGACATGACCACTCCATGATATGGTCAAGGAGTGATTTTTATGGTAGATATGAGGAAGATCAGTAAGAGACTTCTGAGAGAACCCACATCAGAAAGAAAAAGCAGTAGACTGAACATGGCCAGCAGACTGGGCCTGGCCAGGAGAGACAAAGTAGCAGAGAGACAAAGACAGAGAAAGGACCAAGAGAGTGCACAGCCAAAATATCGGGGTTACAAGCAGAATGAGAAGTTGGGGAAGGGAAGCCCATGAGCTGGAAAGGAGCTGTGAAGAACCAGAATGCCAGCATGGACTCTAAAATATGTAATAGGTAAAATATGTAATATGATGCGGCCGGAGCCTGGAGACCAGCATACATTTGGTATGTTAATAGTCATTTGTCCCTTCTGCCAGTGACAAGGGAAATGACTCCTTTGGTAGAAGGGAACCATCTTCACAAGTTCCCAGGAATGCTGGCTTTCATCTACCCGCCAAATCTGAGGACATGGAGTTTCCATTGGACCTGAAAGGGGCTGGTTAAAACACTGGCACCAGGTGTGACCAGAATTCAGATCCCCAGAGCCCATGAGAATGCCAGATGTGTGTGATGGTCCACAAGCTGGCCAGCAAGACTAGCCATATCAGAGCCTGCCTCAATAAGGTTGAAGATTGATCAGGGATGACTCCCAACATCAAGCTTTAGCTTCCATATTCACGGACCCTCATATGTATACTCACTCACACACACACATGTACCAACACTCATACATACTACACATACACATGCCAGTGGAAAAAGAAAAGACACTAAGGTACTTACCCAAATCATAGAACTGGAGCCAGAGTCTTAGGCTGGCTGAAAGTCTGTAGGCTTAACCATTAAGCTTGACTGTGGGGACACTATGTTGCTTCCCAGCATGGGGAAGAGATTCTATTTCAACAAAAGCACAAGGTAGAAACTGCCTATCACTGGTTAATTCTCAGCATGTACCACTGTTGCTTCCTCGAGCACAGAAAAAGGGAACAGTGCTTATAGAGATAAAGCACAGATCTATTTTAACTTTGGGAGGATAAATTCATGACACTCAAGCCTAAAGTGCAGAACTGAGCAGATTCAGACTTGAAAACAAGTGTTGAATACTAAAACTCAAGCACATATGCGTTCGACAAACCCTGTGTAAGTATACGTGTTGGTCAGCCATGGCCTTGGTTCACTGCAGGGCTGTTAAGACCAGAGAATAACCTCAGAACCTTCTGTGCCAGACCCTAAAGAGTCCACTAAAACCATCTCCTGGCTGGATACAAAGCCCCCAGGTTCCCTTAAACTGCTACATTGTTTTAGAAAACAAAAAGTGCCTGTTGTCCCAAGCAGCTTCATCAGGCCAGCACAGCTCCACTTCCACATCTAGGGAAGTATAAAACCAGGAAATTTGTTCACCACACACCTGCTCTACTGGAACAGCATTTCCAGTCACGGCCACAATCAAACAACTGTTGATTGTTCAGTTCCAGAGTTCTGGAAGGGGCCTCCTACCAGGGAGCATGGCTCCATCTGTACCATGAAACCCAAAGTGAGTCATCAACTTACTTAATACTAAACACAAAACCAAGAGTAGCAGGTAGGGCTTATGGATGCTAGGTTCTGAACCAAGGCTTTTAGCTGACATCTCTGAGGCAGGCATGTTTTCATACCCAGCTTTAAGATGGAGGGGTATTCCAAAGTCACATAAGAATTCATACCCATGTTTCTCAAGATTCACAGCCCAAGCTTCTAACTGTCACATCCTCTTCACTAAAGCAGAGAGAAAACACCACCCTTTGCTCACAAAATAAACGGCAGTAGACAGATGCCCCCACATGGGGCATCATGTTGAAGGACCAGAGTGCAGGGGACCAGGAAGCAAAATGCCTCAGGGAGGGAGGGAAATGCAGGCGATCTAGAGAAGAACAAAATTCTAGGAAGATGAATAGGCCCTCACAAAAACAGGTCTCTCCTGTGGCAAAGTGAATGTGGTGTAATTCCCGCCTCCTCTGTGACATCCATACAGTCATCCCTGGCTGTATCTTCAGGTAGACAAGGGGAGTTCAGATAACACACCTTCCTGCATGGGCTGTGCCCTATTTGAAGTCCAAAGTGAGTGGTACTTTCCTGATCCCTACTCTTCCTGTTTCCTTTATTCATAAAGCTAAGGCAAGACCCCCTTTCTGATCCCTTGTGGAAACACCATTCAGCAAACTGACCTGCACATTTCTCTGGCTGTTCTTCCAGCTGTAAGGGGAAAACATAAGGAGTGTTCCCAGACAGATCCACCAATCAGCTGCGCAGGCACACAGGTAAGAGGGAGCTGATGGACACAGGAGAGAGGTTCAGGGAGTCAGAGGAGGGTCTGTCTTCTACTGAGACACTCATTCCTTCATCCCACTGCAATCCTATCAGTAGAAGACTAAACTTGCAAATCGTCTCATTTTCAATGAATTAAGACTCAAAAGTCACCACCTCCACCACCATCTATCTCACCAAGACCCAACCTCTAATGGAAAGAATCTCCACGTGACTCTCGGCCTGTTAACATGATCAGCACTTGAGGCCTGTCTGCCCTAAAGGACTGTGGGTTCCTTGAATTAAGAGAAACAACATGGCTAATATATATAGCACTGGGGCCCCGAAGACTAAACCTGACTCCCCCGTACTTGTCTACACCCAAATGTATGAACACTAAAGAAGCAAGGAGGGTGACTGGGCAGGGTAAGTTCTCACTAGATAGTAGACAATGTAAGAGCAAATCTACCAGTTAGGTGTTTTGAGAGGAGGCCAAAGGACTTTTAAAGTGAGATCACGGTGATTACGTAGTAAGTGACAGGGTTCAAAGTGCAGGTGACCAATGTGCATGTTTTAAAGACTATTTCTAAATGCTGTTTTGCCTGGCATGTTGGCTCATTATCTGTGAACCTAGCACTCAAGAAAGTGAGGCAGAAGGATCACTACGAGTTCAAGGCCAGCCTGGGCTACAGAGTAAGAACCTGTGTCAAAAAAATAAACTGAGGCCAGCAAGCTGGCTTATCAGTCAGGAGCACTGGATGCTCTTCTGAAGGACCAGGGCTGGAGTCCCAGCATCTAAATGGCAGCTTACAACTATCTGTAACTCCAGGCCCAAGGGATCTGATGCCCTCTCCTGGCTTCTGCACACACAGCACACATGTGATACACAGACATATATGCAGGCAAAACACTCATAAAATAAAAAAAAAATAAATAAAATAAAAAGTAGTCAATTTCAGTCGGGCGTTGGTGGCACAAGCCTTTAATCCCAGCACTCGGGAGGCAGAGGCAGG